GCTGATGCACCAATTAATCTGAACAGAAAAGATCCATTTTTTAATAAATTTATTTACCTCTGAAGGAAAATTAAATATAGAATGCCCCCCTGGGTGGCTCGAAACCACCAACCTTTCGGTTAACAGCGAAGCGCTAGCCGTATTGCGCCACGGAGGCTTTCGTGTTTTCTGATGAACAATTAATCTGAACAGAAAAGATCATTTTTTAATAAATTCTATTTCACTTTGAAGGAAAATTGAATAGAATGCCGCCCGTGGGTTATGAACCACCAACCTTTCGGTTAACAGCCGAACGCGGTAGCACGATGCAGCCACGGAGGCTTCTGTGGTTTCTTGAAGAACAATAATCTCGACATGAAAGATCACTTTTAATAAATTCTATTTCACTTGGGAAAAGAAATGAGAATGCCGCCCGGTAGGGTCCGAACCACCAACTCTTATGGCTGGCGTTCAGCCATTGCGCCCGAACTCGGAGGCTGTGTGTTCCTGATAACAAGTTTAATCGAATAGAAAAGTTCATCTTTTTAATAAATTCTATTTCTTTAATATCACTTTAAGGAAACAAATAGAAGATGCCGCCCCGGTGGGCTCGAACCACAACCTTTCGGTTAATAGCCGGAACGCGCTAGCCGATTTGCGCCACGGAGGCTTTCTTGTTTTGCTTAGATGATACAAATTAATCTGAACAGAAAGATCCACTTTTAATAAATTATATTTCACGTCCAGAAATAAAATAGACAATGCGCGCCAGTGGGTTGAACCATCCAACCTTTCGGTAACAGCCGAACGCGCCATAGCCGATTATGACATTCGGAAGCCGTTGTGTATTGCTAAGAGCAATAATTTGAAGCAGAAAAGATCCCATTTTAATAAATCTTATTTCACTTAAGGAAAACAAATATAGAATGCCAGCAATACGTAACCGAACGAAGCATGAGTTTACATCAGAATGCGCTATTGCGCCACGGAGGCTTCGGGCGTTTTTGAAGAACAATTAATATGATCAGAAAAGATGCACTTTTTAAGAAATTCTATTTCACTTGAAGGAAAAACAAATATATAATGCCGCCCCTGGGTGGGCTCGAACCACCAACCATTCAGTTTACAGCCGAACGCGCTAGCCGATTGCGGAGACTTCGTGTTTTTCTGAAGAACAATTAATATGAACAGAAAAGATCCACTTTTTAATAAATTCTATTTCACTTGAAGGAAAGGCAAACATAAAATGCCAATCTTTCGGTTGATAGCCGAACGCGCTATCCGATTGCGAAACGGAGGCTTCGCGTGTTTCTTAAGAACAATTAACCAGAATTGAAAAGATCAAGTTTTGAAAAATTTTATTTCACTTGAGGGAAAAACAAATATAGAATACAGCCGCCGGGTGGGCTGCAAAATCCAACCGTTTGTTTTACCGCCGATCTCGTTAGCCAATTGCTCCACGGAGGTTTCGTGTGTTTCTCAAGAACAATTAAGCATAACAGAAAAGATCCACGTTTTAATAAATTCTATTTCACGTTGAAGAAAATCAAATATAGAATGCCGCCCCCGGATGGGCTCGAACCACCAACCTTTCGGTTAACAGCCGAAGGCGCTATCCGACTGCGGCTCTGAGGCTTCGCGTGTTTCTGAAGTACAATGAACCTGAATAGAAAAGATCCACTTTTTAATTAATTCTATTTCACTTGAATTAAACGCAAATATAAAATGCTGACCCCGGGTGGGCTGGAACCACCATTCTTTCGGTTAATAGCCGAGCGCGCTATCCGATTGCGTAATGGAGGCCTCGTTGTATTGCTGATGAACAATTTATCATAACCGAAAAGATCTACTTTTTAATAAAATCTATTTCACTTGAAGGAAAACAAATATAGAATGCTGTCCACAGTGGAAAAACAACCAACCATTCAATATACAGCTGAACGCGCTAGCCGATTGCGCCACGGAGGCTTCGTGTGTTTCTGAAGAACACTTAATCTGAACAGAAAAGATCCACTTTTTAATAAATTCTTTTTCACTTGAAGGAAAAACAAATATAGAATGCCGCCCACGGGTGGACTCGAACTACCAACCTTTCGGTTAACAACGGATTGTTCCATGGCGGCTTCGTGTATTGTTGAAGAACAATTAATCTTAACAGAAAAAAAAGATCCACTTTTTAATAAAATCTATTTCACTTGAAGGAAAACAAGTATAGAATGCTGCCCACAGCGGGCTCGATCCACCAACCATTCAGTTTCCATCTGAACGCGCAAGCGATTGCGCCACGGAGGCTTCGGGTGTTTTTGAAGAACAATTAATATGAACAGAAAAGATGCACTTTTTAATAAATTCTATTTCACTTGAAGGAAAAACAAATATAGAATGCCGCCCCTGGGTGGGCTCGAACCACCAACCATTCAGTTGTCAGCCGAACGCGCTAGCCGATTGCTGTTGGCATGTCATGAGTGTAACTTGCAGAGTAACGCAGATACCAGGCAGTTTTAAAATACAAAAGAGCTTTAATGCAGATTACTGTATAACAAATAAAGACATGCTGCTGTCTTGCAGCCCAAACACTCATTGACAGCCATCCATTCAGCTGACTACAGCTACGTCTACTCTCAGACTGACTGAACGAACGATCCATTAAAAACAGAAATGAACAATATATATAGATTGTAACAACCAATCAACTTAGACTAGTGCCGTAACTTCGGCTACGTCATGAAAATTAACCAACGAGATGCTTTCATTCAGTGACTGAACCAGTTCATTTGAATTCCAACATTCGGCCCCATCAGTCACTGAATACTTTTGAAATATAACCTTTATTACCGAAAGAAATTTTTCTTTTACAAGAGGTTTTGTTAAGAAATCGGCCAAATTTTCCTTAGAATTTATATAATTTAGTTCAAATTCTTTATCATATAATAATTTTCGAACAAATTTATATTTTATGTCTATATGTTTAGTTTTATTATTCTCAATATTATTTTTCGAAAAATGAATAGCTGATTGGCTGTCACAGTACAATTCCGGCATTCTGAAATCAATTAAGTTAAGTTCTTTTAAAATTTTAGAATACCAAATAATACATTTTACACTTTCTGTTAGTGCTATAAATTCAGCTTCCATTGAGCTTAAAGCAATACATTTTTGCTTCTGAGACTTCCAAGTTATTGGTACATTTCCAAATAACATAATATATCCACTGGTAGAATGTCTATCATTTAGCTTACATCCCCAGCTAGAATCTGAATACATAGTTAACCTAGTGTTACGAGTATCAGAAAGATTTATTTTGTAATACATTGTATTAAACACATAATTTAATATATCAACAACAATAGTCCAATGATGATACGTATATCCATTACAAAATTGTGACATTGTGTTTACAGCAAATGCAATATCTGGCCTGGACCTATTCGCAATAAACGATAAGCATCCAATTAGAGTTTTATACGGAATCTGTCTCATAAGTTCCGTTTCTATTATCTCATTTTCTTTTACTCTATCAGGTAAAATACAACCTACTTTCAAAGGTAACGTAATTCGCCTTCTTGGTAAATTTTTGAATCTAGTCTTAAGTTTATTTATATATGTATTCTGATGCAAATACACAGAATCCCCGATTCGCTCAAAATTTACACCAAGTAGGTATTTAACTGGTCCCAACTCCGTTATTTCTAATTTAATTTTTATATTAAGAATTGAATTTTCAAGATCACTTTGCGATTTGCTGAAAACGACAATGTCATCTACATATACCAATAAAATACAATTACTTTTAGTATATAGACCATTACACAAGTCATTTTGATGAAATCCAAGTCCAAATAAAATTTCACTCAATTCGAGGTTCCATTGTCTACCACTTTGATGAAGACCGTAGATGCTTTTCTGCAACCTGCAAACATAATGCTCGCATCCTTTTAGAACAAATCCTTCCGGTTGCTGCATGTAAATGGGAATATCCAGGTTCCCATACAAATATGCTCCT